CCCAGCTTCAGTTCCTGTGTCCATGCAGCTGGGCAGCTGGAGCTTTCTCTGGGAAAGGGGAGGGTATCTCCAGAAGCCATTTGGAGCCCCCCAGTGTGTCAGTGCCACTCTGGCCACCCAGATTCATACAAAACCATAGAGGTAACAGGGGAAGGAGACCACTCCCCAGGCTTCCCTCCAGGGGTGTGGCCCAGCCTCAGGGTCTCAGGACAACCCCACAAGCAGGAGTCCTGAGGACTTAGAGATGCCCAGGTGTGGATGGAGTGTCGGAAAGCACAGGAAAGGAGAGAGGCTGGGGCCTTGGGCACTCCTGGGTGGCACCTTCGGTCCCCGCCACTCAGGCTCCTGAGACTGTTGGGGAAAGCATTCCAGAATGCGGGGAATGCCCAGTCTCATGGCCCTGAACAGGGTCCTGCTTGTCCATGCCAAAGGCAGAACTGGTGCAGCAGGATGAGGGAAGACCCTGACAAGTGCCACCAGCGGAATGAATGCCCTTTGCCCATAGGTCTGGGCCCGGGAAATGACAGGAGAGGGGCGGCCACGCGTGGGCCTCGGGGAGTTCTGAGGAGAGGTGGAGTGGCAGACTGGCCCGGGCGGGGTGTGGGGGCTGGCCCTCCCTGGTGAGGACCTGGCCAGCTCCTCAGGAAGGGAGGGCTTGGCACCCACTGAGGGAGCAGGACACCGGTGCTCAGCCTGGGAAAGTGTCCTGAGAAGAAGTGCCTGCTCCCTGACTCTGAGTCTCCTAGCAGTCAAAGAGTCCTGGTGGTGTGGTGGGTAAGCACTTGGGGCTAGCCAGGAGGCTGGAGAGCTTCACACCCACTCAGAGGCGCTGGGGGAGAAAGACCACCGGCCGTCTGCTTCTGTAAAGATGGGAGCCATAAAACAACCGGCTGGGCGCTCCAGCCTGTCCCATGGAGACCCTCTGCGTCAGAACCCAACTCAGAGGTACCTGAGAACCAGGCTAATGCGCCGGGCTCTGGTTGTAGAACCTCACGCCTGCTCATTCAGACGTGCCCCGACTCTAGACCCCGAAGGTAGGAATTACTACCACCCTCTTTCTGCAGGTGAGGGGACAGGCCTGGAGGGTGGGGCTGGGGAGGGGTGGAGTCACACACCTGGTCCAGTGATGGAGCAGCACTTTGAACCTAGAGTTTCCATCCGGGATCCAAGCACCTAGCCATCGTACTATACTGCCTCTCTCTCGTCCTGCAGGACAGAGGACGGCCTGAGATGCTGAGGGGTGAGATGGCTCCGTGTGACCTTGCATCACCTCTTTGACAGACACCAGGAAGCCCCAAGCACCATGAGGCCACAATCAATTGCGGGGGTGCGGTGGGGTGGGGTGCCCTGTGGACGAGGGGTGGGGGCATAGCTGAGGACAAAGATGGGGTGCAGTGAGGCAGATAGCCGGGCCTAGCAGGGTACCTGCTCTGAGCAAGGGGGGCGGGAGGGGTGTCCTGGTGCACACCAGGCCCTCTAGGCCAGGCTGCGCACGACAGCGGGACTTCTACCTTTCGGGGTTTTGCTCCAAAGGAGGCACATCACGTCACCCCACACCTCTCAGACTGCCCACCCCAAAGGCGTGCCCGCCACGTGCTGGCGCTGCTCAGACAGCCCAGCAGCGAGTACAAGCGAAGCTCCGCCTCTTTGCAGCCCTGACCTTGGGAGCGACCTCTGCTCCACCACCAAGGCTCCCTCCTCTAGCCAATGGGGCTCATGGGACAGACCTCAGACACCCAGCGTTTGAAGTGAGAAAACACCGCCTATTTTCTGTCCTCTGCCCTGCTTAGGAGGAACCCTGGTAACTAGGGGGATGGAGGGAGGGGTGGGGTTAAGCATTAGGCTCCTAACCAAAGGGTCAGCAGTTCCAACCCCCCAGCTGCTCCTTCTTAGGAGAAAGGCCACCTGCTTCCATAAAGATTGACAGCCTGGGAAACCTCAGGGAGTAGGTCTCCTCTGTCCCATGGGGTCTGTGTGAGCTGGAGTGGACTTGTCCTGCTTAGTCCTCTGTCCTCAGCTGGCTACTCCAGGGCCCCAGGAGCTCCCCTTACTGCCACTCAGCAGACTTGGGGATCCTTAGAGCAGGGACACGAGGGGAACGAGGCTGAGAAGCAGGGAAGAGCTCATGCCTGTCTCTCTTCACAGGCCCCACTTGCCTCTGCCTGAGGCCCTCTGGTCACTCCCTAGGCAAAGCAGAGCCCCAGACTCCAAGATTGCCTCAATGCACCTTCACCCCAACACCCCTCAGACCCTGCCGCACCGTCTCCCATGCCCACTGCCAGGCCTAGGAAGATCCTAGTTGTACCTAGCATACACAGCTGCTGCCTGGAGATGTGGAGATTCGCATCCTCCCACCCCTCCCGAGGGTGCTTCAGGAGAAAAAAAAGGCCTGGCAGCTGACTTGTACATCACCCGGCCCTGGAAAACCGTAGGGCATGCAGGTCTACCAGGACACGCATGTGGTTGCCATGAACTGTAGTCAACTGGCTGGCAACTGCTTTGCTGTAGTTATTCCCTCACCCCCACCCCCACCTCAGTTGCAGGGCACTGACTCTCCCTTTCAATGCCACGAACTCACCCCATGCCCGTAGTCTAGTCATTGGAAGGTCCTGCTCTTGCATGGGACCAAAGCCCGCCCAGCTGAGCTCAGCAGGGCAGCTGGCTGGGGCCAACACAGAAACCGACTGGTAGCTCCCCTGACTCTTCCAGGCCTCTTTTTCTCAGCTGCCTCTCCTTTACTGCAGCACCAACCCCCCCCCTCCCCCCAAAAGCCAAACTCACTGTAGCACAGTGGAGGCTTAAACCTGGAAGGATCTTCAGGAGGCATCAGCCCCTTTGTCTTCCAGATCAGGACCCAGTTTAGAGAGAGGAGGTGACTTGCCCTGAAGGACAGGTCAACCCGGAGGCAGAAACAGAACTCGGGCCGCAGTGCTTCCTGTGGCCACGCTTCTCTCCCTCTCTCGCGCGCGGCGAGGTCTGCCTGGTTCTGAGCCCAGCTGAACTGTAGAATCATCCATCGCCTGAGAAGATTTGGCTCGAAAACTCCCATGCCCAGCCCGGCCCTCAGCCCAGGGCCACCTCTGGAGTAGGGTCTCTCAGAAAAGAATCTTATGACTGTTGTCAGCCACCTCGGGTCAGCCCCAATCACGGCAGTCCCCTGTACAACGGGCTTGTGCCAGGGTGACCCAGAGGGGGTTTCACTCAATGAGCTGATGCTTTCCGAAGCAGCTCACCAGGCCTTTCCCGTGGCCTTCGTGTGGAAGCTCGGCTGAAATGCGCTCAACGTCAGAGCCAGGTGCCAGGGAAGAATCTTTGGCATGGGTGTTTTTTCCAACTCCTCCAGGAGATTCCAGCCTGCAGCCATGGGCTAGAAGTGCAGTCCTAAGCATGTCCCGCCTCCTCACCTATGCAGCCCACCCTGGGGAACATCGCTCTAACCCCAGAGCCATCTGGAGGCAGGAGCCACGATGTCAGGACCAGAAGGCCCTTGAGAGGCCCTCCATCTCTAGTTTCCAAAAGCCTTTCCTGGAGTCCTCACCCTCCCCTCCCCACCCCCAGCCCCTGAGACAGAGCCTTGGGCCACTCTCCACACCCACAGCCACCCAGGAGATGCCTCTTCCATCTGCTCCACGTGTTGGGATTTCTGCACAACAAGCTTTTGCTTTTCGTTTTAAAACAAATGGAGAATTTGAGCCCGGATTGTGCAGTGGTTACAAGCAGTGCTGTGATCCTCAAGGTTGGCAGTTTGAAACCACCAGCCGCCCCTCAGGAGAAAGACTAACAATAAATGGAGAATTTGACTGCAAGGCCTCATCTTAAAGGTGAAGAAACAGGCCCAGAGAGAATGGCTAAGCCTTCTCCCTCAATGCACTTTCTGAGGTCTGGCCAGGGCCCTGGGTCTGCCTGTTTGCCTGATGCACCCGAAGCCACTCTCTGCCATCAGGCCCCCTAGAGGGATGCAGGCCGCAGGCACAGCCTCAGACACAGGGGCTGCTCAGAGGGTCTCCCTGCACCCCAGAAGTCCCAGAATGCCTTATCTCATGAGCCCAGAACCCCAGGATGACTTCCATGTCTCCCCTCCTCCAGTCAATTCAGTTCAGCCCACCGAGACGGACAAAGCCTCGACTCTGGGCTGGGCCTGGCTTCCTGTCATGAGCAGTCACAGTCAACTTGATTCCTGTTGCAATCAAGGCAGCAAGAAGAGGAGCCCACTAGAGGCCAGCATAGGGAGATGTCCTGCAGGGTGGCCTGAGGGACACAAACTCCCTCCTGCAACTTCGGAGGCCTCCGGCCATGGGCCCACAGCTCATAGGGCGTGCAGCCCACTGCCCTTGGAGAGCCTACATGTCCTCAGCGAGGCCTGGGCTAGTGTTCTTAAACCACAGGGGTGCCAGGCTCCAGCCAGGAGCTGAATATCTGGGAATACCCCACACAGGACCTCTCAAGGGCCAGCCCTTGAGCTGCGAGCCCCGTTTCCCAGATCTGGTAAGAGGCAACTGAGTCTTTCTACATTGGATGAGAGGGCAGTGGTGAGGGGGTGGAGAGGGTGGGTCCACCGAGGTCGGGGAACAATGCAGGCCCAGGCGAGGATGCTGCAGCAAGGGAGCCCAACATGAGATAACAGGAAGCACTTCCCGCCCAGGATGCTGGTGGAACCTGCTGCCTTGAAGCACTGCATTGAACGGGCACATTCGTTGGGCCACCCCAGCCCACCCCAATGGGGAGAAGCTCTGAAGGCAAAGAGTTGACGCAGAGGCTTTGGGGAGGGGGTGATATTGGATGATGAGACAAAGTGGGGTTCGATGGCAGAGCAGGGAGGGGACGGCCTGACTGTATGGGGCTCCCACCCACAGCCTCTCCCACTACCCAACTCCCTGAGCCAAGGGCGCCCTTTGTAGAAAGGGGGCGGGAGGCCTGCGGTTTCGCCGAGTCTTTGATTTATTGCCTAATGTAGGTGAAGAAGAAAGAGGAGGCTCATTGCTAAGCCGGAGTCTTAGGAATGGGACGTGAGCCTCACATCTTCTGAAGCCCAACAAACAGGGCCCTGCTCTCTAATCCAGGATGCAGGTCTGAGCCTGCTGCTGGGCACAGACTCGCCACCAAGCAGGCCGCCTGCCCCGCACGTCTGGTGCACAGGGCTCCCCGCCCCCCAAGGGAGGCAGGAGGAAAACGGAGAGGAGGAAGGGAACACAGGGAGGTCAAGGTCTTGGGCAGAGAGGAAGCAGAAATGAGAGAGGAGGCACTGGAGACGGTGGGCAGAGAGCGGGGAGAGCGTGGGCAGAGCAGAGACTGTGGAAAGACTGAGGGACCAGACAACCAGCAGACTCAGAAACACTTGGAGAGAGGCTGTAGGTGAGGGGTGCCAGAGGCAAAGGGGTGGGGACGGAGGTGCTCAGATGTGCACCAAGGACCCTAAGCAGCCTGAAGGCCCCGGGCCCAGGGGACAGAGCCACCGCTAGCCCATCAGCATCTCTGCACACACTAGCAAAAGTCACTCCTTCTGGGATGGGTGCAGCCCCAAGCAAGGGCACAGGGCTGGATTTCAGCCCTTTTTCACTCGCACAGCCAGATGTTCTTAGACAGTCAACAATCTGCTCAACTGTCCAAAGACGACCTGCAGGCCAAGTCAGAATGGAGGAAGTAGCGGGGCTGGAGAATCCAGCTCCCCACTCTCAGGCAGCCCGAGAAGCTCATTCTCCTGCTCCGGGGTCAGCCTGAAGATCTTTGTTTCCTTCCCAAGCCATTTCCCGTGGCAGCATGCCCGCCCCAGGAGTCTCCCCTCCCCTCCCCAGACCCTCTGTTCACACCCCTGTATGAGAAGAGCATGAGAGGGCTGGGGGACAACAGTCCTGGTCGAGACCAGGTGAGTCATGGGCTCGCATGGCACGAGAGGCTGCCTCGCTCAGCCTTCCCCTCTCTTAAATGGGCCATCCAGTCAATGGCCGAGGGAGGCTAGATGAAGTCACACAGGGTCCTTTGCAACCCTCACTGGTCTGTTCAGAGGAAAAATGAAAGAGATTAGGAGGGAAATGCTTGAAGACAGAAGGAGTGGCTTATAGGGAGGATGAGAACTCAGGATGCAGCCAGAGAGACTGAGCCCCCCACCCCCCACCCCCAAAACCAAACTCACTGCCACTGAGGCAATGCAGACTCATGACGACCCAATAGGACAGGGTAGAACTACCCTGGTGGGCTTAGCAGAAAGCCCCATCTTTCTCCCAAAGAGCACCTGGTGATTTTAAACTGCTGACCTTGTAGTTAGCAGTCCAATGCTTACCCACTATGCCACCAGGGGCTCCCTAAAGAGACTGAGGTTGGACCCAAAGAGGAAGAGGGTGAAAGAAACCCAACCTGGAACCCTGACCTGCGAGGTCAGAAACCGCTTGGGTCTGCCAGGGCGCTCGGCCCCACGAAGACCTAGGCTGAGAGGTACCACACAAGAACAGCAGCAAATGAGGTGGGTCCCCACTCTCCAGGGTGATCATGCCTACTAGGTACAATGAAATGTTTCATTACAGATCACACTGTTTGTGACTGGCAAGGTGGGAGCACAGATAAAGAACTCAGAACAGAAACGAACAGCGAAGACAAAGTAATGACAGCCAGCACGCAGGAGGTCAGAGCTGGGTTTGCCTTCTGTCTTGGGTGGCACACTGCCATGCCAAGGTGGGGAGGGGGAGTCGACTTACAAGACTTTCAGGCTGTAGAGCCCGGAGAATGCCTGTCCAGGGATGTGTGAGAGATGGTTCCCAGAGAGGCGCCTGCAAATCAGAGAAGAGGGTCAGAGGTGGTGGCCGGGAGCCCCGCAGGGTGGTCCTCCATGGGTCAGCATCCTGGCTGGGAGAGGAAAGCAAAGGGTAGTTTGCACACTTAATACCCAGGACCGGTTTCACTTAATTCCCGGTTCTCGCTGTCGGAGTGGATTCCAACGGGGAGAGGCCCTGTGTGCTTCACAGTTGAATTGTACTTCACGGGGGTTTCAACGACTGATCTTTTTGGAAGTAGATCGCCGGACCTTTCTTCTGACACGCCCCAGAATGGGCGTGCACCTCCACCTTTTCGGTCAGCAGTCGAGCTGGTTTACCTCTTCATGCCGCTCGGAGACTCCAACAATAACCCTATTGAGGTGTCTACTTTCATCCCCCAAATTACAGGCAAGGAAGCTGAGGAGTAGAGGGCTAACGTGCCTCCCCCGAGAGAAGTGTCGCTGAGGCAGCCCAGGGCAGAGCTCAGTGTTCTCCCTGAGGTCTAGCTGCCGTCAGGGCCCATGTCCTCTCTATGATGCTCCATCCTCTCCTGGGCCCGTCCAGATCACCAGACCCCCTGCAGGGCTGGGTTGTGACCCGTCACTAGTAGAAGGATTGGGTTCAGGTGGGGGTGTGTCTGGGTCTCCCCACATCCTAATAAACTACGCAGCTAACCCCCATTAATCCAGAGGGGTGAGGAAATGGGGTGTTCTAATTAGTGTAATATTCTGGTCTAATTAAGCATTTCCATGTCCATCATAATAGGGTGATCCCCAATTTTAAAGGCAGCAGGTGCCATGAAATACACTTAATGCACATGCCTAAGACCAAAACCTGTCTGTGCAGAGTTTAATTGTGGATGATTCAGAAGGTATTTTGGGAGCTCCCAAGTCCCCAAGGACATTATTATGGGCACCAGTTCTTACCAAGAGGCCCGCAGACATAGAGATTGTGCTGACTTATCGCAGAGGCTATTTTTAAAATATACATCTGCAATAAGAATCTGCTTATTTGTCAGTTGCTATTCTGTTTGACTTAAAAAAATTTTTTTAAAGTAATGTGTGGGAAGGCAGCGGGGTATTTGGACTCTCCTAGCTTGGCTTCTGTGTGTCGGTGGGCATCAGAGGATCCACGCCCATCCCAGGGAATAAAAACTCCACGCTCACTGCCATCGAGTCAATGCTGACTCACAGCGAGCCCCTGTGGCTCTCAGAAACTGTCACTGTTTACAGGAGTAGAACGTCCAGTGTTTCTCCTGAATTGCTGCCCGTGGTTTTGAGCTGCAGACCATGCAAATCGCAGTCCGATGTGTAGCCACTATACCACCAGGTCTCCACAGCATCTCAGGGGATGGATGGGAGGTAGAAAACCAAAACCGAAAAAGGCTGACTCTGCTCCTGGAGGCTGCGTGGTAGAACTCAGTTTCATAGTGATTTCTCAGCCATCATCTTTTTAAAGAGAACATTATATGTGTGTGTGTGTGTGTGTGTATGTATGTATATGCTTAAGAAACTGTGTTTCTTAAGCAGGAAGGATTTCAACGAACAGACAATCTTGCTAGATAGAATTTTCCAGAAACAGGGCTGTTGGTCATCTGGCAGATTGCTTTTTGAAAATTTTTGTTTATGTAATATGACCTTTTTGGCAGCAGGTTGCCAGGCCTGTCTTCCTCTGCACTGCAGGGTAGGTAAAAATTGCCAGCCTTTTGGTGAGTAGATGAGCACAAGCCAGGACTTTGGAAGACAGACAGTCAGTCTGACATGCTCCGGTCCACACCACATGTCCCCTGCCCAGGCTCCTCGGCCTTCACACCTACATTTCATTCTCACCACGCTGTGCCGTGGTCCAGTCAGAAGGCCCGCCACACCGCTCACTCTGCCCACTTCCTTTGAAAACTGGCTGAACACTCATCCTCTGAGAAGACTACCCTGCCCTCTGGCCAGCCCCATCCACCCTGCCCATCCCTGGCACAGAACGCCCTGGGCACCCACGCCTACGAAAACCTCATCCACCTGCTGACTTGCTGTCCACCCCAGTCTCAGTCTGGAAGCACCCAAAGGGCAGTGTCCTCTGGCGTTTGCCTTTCAGGCCAGAACACCACGTGCCATTGAACCAACTCCTACTCGTGACGGTCCACAGGGGTTAGCACAGAATGGTGCTCTGGGCTTGTTCAATAGCAAATCGATCACCTGGCATTTCTTCCGAGGTATCTCTGGGTGGACTCAAACCTCCCACCTTTGGGTAGCAGCTGAGCCCATCTACTGTGTGCACCCTTCAGGGCTTCAATTGTGCACCCAGAGGAGGTCCCACAAGAACTTGGTCTGAAGCAGTCAGTGTGGTCCTGTGGTACCGTGATTCCAGCAGGGGCAGGTAGACTTAGGAACAGGGGAGTTGAGGTTGAGGTGAAATAGCAAATAATGGCAGTTCCAGGTGCCCACAGCCTGTGCGGTTTAAGCAAACCTTAGTCGAGTTCCAAGGATCTATAATTGTGTGAAATAAAAATGACCAGGACTAGGAGATGGGAGATTAGGGGTAGGGTAATGGTAATGACCGGGACCAGAGGGACCTGGCTTTCCAGAGAGGACAGGAGCACCCCTTGGGCTGAGCACCCCAGGGGGGACTTGGCAGAGCACATGGTATGTGAGCTTGGCACTGAGAGAGGCATCCAGGCAAATGCAGGAGAGGGGATTCAGGATGGTGAACAGGACTGGCCTCATGGATGCGACGTTGTCTCGAGGGGATTGGCACGGCTGAGGGCGGGTCTTAGAAACTGATCCTTTAGGCCATGAGGAGATGCAGAAGGCTCCTCTTGAGCTGGTAAGATGCCCCTGAAGGAGGAGCCCCAGATGTGAGGGGATGTCTGGCACGGTAACAGAACAAGGGATAGAGGTAGGAGACATGTCAGAGAAAGACCATGGGGGTGGCTGGATCCGGGCATGTGAGGAGGCCAAAGACATCCCCCTAGCTGCAGGGGACATGCTAGGGTTCCTGCACCCTGTGGCACCACCTGCCACCCCAGGTTCCACCCCAGGGCTGGTGTCAGCTGAAACCCCCTGATATGGAGACCGGCTCGTCTTCTCCCTGGGCATGTCACGGTAGAACTGTGCCCCTGGGGTTTCAGTGGCTGACGTCTCCAAAATCGACCGCCAGGGCCTTCCTCCTCTCCAGGCTTGTCTTCCTCACTAGGGCTTTTCTCAGGAGTCTTGGTGGTGCTGCAGTTATACGTGGGGCTGCTGACTGCAAGGTCAGTAGTTCAAAACCTCCCAGGGAGAAAGCCGGGCTTTTCTACTTCTGTAAAGAGTGACCGTCTTGGACACTCACAGGGGCCAGTTCTCGCTTGCCCTAGAGCAGTGGTTTTCAATCTTCCTCATGCCGAGACCCTTTCAGACAGCTCCTCATGTGGTGGTGACCCCTGAACCATAACATTATTTTCGTTGCTACTTCATCACTGTCATCTTGCTACTGTTATGGATCGGGCGACCCCTGTGAAAGGGTCATTCGACCCCCAGGTTGAGAACCGTTGCCCGAGAGGGTTGCTAGGAGGGCTTTTCCAAGGTACCTCTAAGTGACCTCGAACCTCTGACCTTCCCGTCAGCAGCCTGGTGTGTTGACCTTTAATTCACCCAATCACCTTCTTTTTCCTGGAGCCTCGGCGGGGCTCCTGAGAATCCTGACACCTACAGCTGTTCTCACTGCTGTGGAGACGATTCCAACACGCCCTGTAGGACAGAATGGAGCTGCCCCTTCGGTTTCTGAGACTGTCAATCTCTATGGAAACAGAAAGCCTCACCTTTTCTCTCAAGTTGCTGCTGGTGGGTTTGAACTGCTGACCTGTGGTTAGCAGCCCAACGCATAACTCACTATGCCAGCAGGATTCCCTGCCTTACAGCTATTTAAAAACAAAAAATACATCTCACACTCGCTGCCATCAGTGGATGCTGACTCATCGTGACCCTATAGGACAGAGCAGAACTGCCCCTGTGGGTTTCTGAGGCTGTAATCTGTACAGGAGCAGGCAGCCTCATCTCCCCACCCCCCCAAGCAGCTGGTGACTTCAAACTGCTACATCCAAAGCCTAGCCCACTACACCCCAGGGCTCCGTCTCCAGCTATCGCAGGCAGCCAAAATCTTGCCGTCCCAACCCGGCCCTACCAATCCCCACGCCCAAAGGGTCTACGCACAGCTCTTCCAGGAAACGCAGGTGGTGAAAGAGGCCAGGTTGCAGCTCTGTGAGGTTGTTCATGCTCAGATCCCTGCATGGAGAGAAAACAGGAAAGAGTTACAAGCTGCCTGCCTTTACCACCCAGCACGATCCAGTTTGCGGCCCCCACAGCAGCCCCCCTTGTTATCCAAACCCCACAGCCCAGAAACAGGCCGAGCTCTCTGAGTGATAACTTGGCTGGGAATCAGGCCTCCCATGGCCAATGCCATCCTTCTCCCGACACAGTCGCCCATGTCCCCTTCTGCTGGACTCCCCCAGGACTGGGTGTGGATAAGATTAGGAAGGGAGCTAACCCCCTCTAGAAAGAGGAGCCAGGTGAAAATTCATAGCCTTGTAGAATAGGAAGGGAGGGCCCACCTGAGGCGGCAAAAAAGACTTATTTTTATAAATGAAGCAACCGAGGCCCAGAGAGCCCCAGATTCCCAACTACGGAGCAGGCTTGGACGGCACCCATGTGTGGGTGCGATGGTCCCTGAGTGGCTGGAGGATGGGCACCGTCCTTGTATTCCATCCCTCAGGCCTCTGCGCGTGCCCTGACATTTTCCTTCCTATTGGATTCACGCCCTCAATCTCTTACCCCCCCACCACCCACCTGGCAGTGTGTCACACCATAACGGCTTGCCATGCTGCTGTGACCCTGGAAACTCTGCCACCGGTCTTTCAAATCCCAGCAGGGTCCCCCATGGTGGGCTAGGAAGAAAGGCCTGGCAACCTACTTCCCCGGCGGCATCAGTGTAAACGCTATGGCCCACAAGGACACTGTCCAACCCAGTGGCCACTGCAGCAACAGACTGGAGCATCTTCCCAGCGGTGGGGAAGATGGCCCGGGACCAGGCAGCGTTTGGTTCTGTTGCACACAGGCCACTTCGTGACCGTTGACTTTTCTCCATTGGGAGGCTGTGCCCTTTGGCACCATGACAGAAGCTGCTGGGGTCCCTGATGGTGGCATGTGCAGATCCCGACTCCCGGATGGATTCCCAGCGGAGATCCCCCAACCCTCCCACTTTCCTAGGAGACTCTGTGGGTGGCTCCAGGGTCACTGTCCTCTCAGATGTGGGGACAACCCCAACAGATGCAGCTGGCATTTCCCGGAGGCTGATCTCGACCCAAACACCCCACTGAAGCCTCAGAGCCTCCCCAATCCAAGACAGCCGAGAAGGGTGAGGTCTCACCCCGAGGGCAAATGTCTTCACCGCGGCCTTCAAACTAACAAACACCTCAATCACACTCCCTGCCACCCTCTAGGACAGGGTAGAACTGACCCTGTGGCTTTCTTTCTGAGACTGCAGCTCTCTATGGGGGCAGAAAGCCTCCTCGCTCTCCCTCCGGATGGCTGGTGGTTTCCAACGGCCCATCTTGAGGTTAACAGTCCAACATGTAACCGCGTGTGCCACCAGGGCTAGGTATGATCGCATATCCTTTCTCTCCTCACAGAAAACAGGACCAGCGACACCACGCTCAGAGGCCTTGACCACCCTGAAT